AAAATCAGCTGAAAAAGTGAAATAGCTAAAAAAGTATAGGTAGCAGAAAGCCCCGGAGATATAGCAGGCATGGCATTAATGAGCTGGACGTTTTGATATATGAATTGTACAAATCAGACAAAATTTGTGGGAGGAGATAGGTGCCGAAAAACGTACAATAAAAAGAAAAACAAAGCAGTTGAAACATAGCCCCATTCAAAGTCAATGGGGAAAAAATCAGCTAAAAAAGTGAAATAGCTAAAAAAGTATAAGTACCAGAAAGCCCCGGAGATATCGCACCCTTGGCATTAATGAGCCGGACGTTTTGATATATGAATTGTACGAATCGGACAAAAACTGTGGGACGAGATACGTGCCGAAAAACGTACAATAAAAAGAAAAACAAAGCAGTTGAAACATAGCCCCATTCAAAGTCAATGGGGAAAAAATCAGCTAAAAAAGTGAAATAGCTAAAAAAGTATAAGTAGTTGAAATCCCCGGAGATATAGCAGGCATGGCATTAATGAGCCGGACGTTTTGAAAAATGAATTGTACGAATTGGACAAAAACTGCGGGACGAGTTAGATGCCGAAAAACATACAATTTAGAGAAAAACGAAAGCAATAGGTTGAATGCCTAAGGCATTCACCCAATTAGTGGAACTCAATGAGGCATATTGAGTGAAACATAAACACTTATATTAGTTTAATTATTTAAAATAAATGGAGATTTCACTGACAAATAAAATGGTATTAAATTTAGTAATAATTTCTGTATTTTCAAACAACTTTATTTTAGAATACATTACAAAAAACAAGTAGTGTTAAGAAGTTAAATTATTATAGAGATCAACACAACTTTATTTGAAATGTAACTTAATTTTAAAGAATCAAACAAACAGAAGATGTTTGTTTGATTGGTGGGGCCAATCTAAAAAAAGCTACTTTCCTTGATAACAGTGCACTGCCATGGTTAGAAACTCTAGTGTTTAACAAAACATAAGATTTAGAGTGTGTTTGAATATGTAAATGTGAAGTCTATGCTGCGGAGATGTTTTTGATTTGTCACAAATTTGTTTAGTGTGAAGATAATGTTGTGTTTGTTTTCTTTTATTGTTGCCATTTGGCAAGAAGCATTTTAGGTCCTTGGTCAACTTGTAACTTCAAATGGGCTGTTATAAGTTGTGTCCACATAATTTTAGGAGTAAAGACAGAGGGACAGTTGGCTCAGACGACAAAGCAGTTTAACCTCTTTGTAATATGTCTCTTGTTCTTGTAGAAAACTTGTGCATCCAGTGGAGGAGCCAGACAACTTTCACAGGGGTGGCCAGACTGGGACCACTGCTCACACAGGGGTGGCCAGACTGGGACCACTGCTCACACAGGGGTGGCCAGTAAAATTACATCATTTTTTTCCTTGAAAGTTTCTGTGGATCTTTGTGTTTTGGTCATTTCCTTATGTCCTCATACAGGCAGGGACTACCTTGTAAATTATGTCCTAAACTAGTGGAATCTACACTCACCGACCACTTTATTAGGTACACCACGCTAGTAACGGGTTGGACCCCCTT